GGTGTTATGAAAATGTATGTTCAAAGCTGTTGTTTTTCAAAAACGTTCAGCAAGCAATCGAATGCACCCTTGATGCAAATCGATTGCACGGGTTCTAACAGCCACAAAATTCAAATATTTTCAGTGAGAAATCGATTGCATAAACATGCAAATCGACTGCACTTTAAAACAAAAGCCTTTTTAACCAAAGAGCAATCGATTGCACTCTTGTGTAAATCAATTGCACTAAGAAACAGAAGTAAAACAACTGAAAATATGAGTCATGCAATCGATTGCACCAACATATAAATCGATTGCACAGAAGTAAAAATGGATTTTTGCTTAGAAAACTTGAAAAAAAGTTTGGACAAGTTTTAAACACTTCTTTTGATCATTGAGCATTTAAGACTTAATTTCATAGCAAGATTTGTTATTATACCTTGTAAAATTTGCCAAGAGTTTGAATCAAAGACTTTTATTCATTGATGCTTTAGCTTGATCAATATCTTTTCCTTCTTTCCATTATGGTTTGTCTTCATCAAAATAAAGTTCATTGAGAAGCTTGATATTACATAAGAGAGCCCGCTTAGCACGCAGGAGGCTGCTAAGCGCGAGTGAGGCTCATCGCATTTTATAGCGCGCTGCTTGCTTTTACTGTTTTGGAAGAACTAAAGTTTCGAAGGCCGCTTAGCGAGTTTTATGTCAGTTTAGTGTGTAAATATTGCGGTGTCCGCTTAACGCGGTATGCTGAGAATAGTTTTATAAAAACAGATTTTAGTCATTTTCTAGGTTATGGTTTTTGGGGTATTTGTTCCCAAACTCCATCACCTTCATTCTTTGATATTTAGAGCTTAGAAAACAACACTTGTGGCTTGCAATTGGATAATCCAGGGTCGGGATCTTGATGGATCATGTTGACGCCGCAGGAAATTTGGTGTTCTCTCCTCTTCCTCTCTTTGTAACTATTATTTGTTGGACTTTGTATGTAACTTTACCTTGATTATATGTATATTTATTGCTCATGGTGTTGTATGAAACATTCTTTACAAATTTTTATTGATGTTTATCCTTTTTAGCTTGCTAAGGGTTTGGGTTTGAGATGTTGCAGAGATGGACGAATTTGATATCTCACTCTATATTAGAGATGACCTCTGTGTGAGTGATATGAGATGATATTGACGATTAGTTAAGGTTAAGGGCAACTGGTTAGTAAGTTTAAGTATATGATAGGGTAGACTAAATACAAACTCGAGAGTTCTTTACTAATCGAAGAATGAAATTCGTTTTATGTCTATAACTTTTAATTCTCGCACCTTACAAACAAACCCAATATTTTCCCAAACTCATAAACACAAAAAATTATCAAACTGAAATTCAATAACCATCTCTATGGACACGATAAATTCCCGGATAAATATTTCCAAAACTTTTGTTTCTCGCTGCTTTACGCCAGTAACAAAATGGCGCAGTTGTTAGGGATTGGTGTTTATTGTTTTTACATTGCGATAGTTTCTTTATTTTTGAATTTTGTAATTAATGTATATGTTGTATAGAATTTGTACGTAAACTTGTCTATTTTCACTTGTACATGTTTTGTGTTTACTTTCCATACTTGTGCATATATGTGTTTTTTTCTTTGTTTTCACGTACTGTTTTGAATTGTCTCGTTTTCGTAACGTTTGTTGTGTGGATGTTATGACACTTTCTTTAGGTTTGCGCGGTGTGACAATATCATGGCATGATGAGAGGAGGTTACTAGCTCTCATAATAAAGGCGTCGAGTTTACGACGTAAAATAAGCATGTTGTATTTTTTTTATTTGTATCCGTTTATGTATGTGTTGACTTATGTTTTAACAAGTTGAACTCAAATTAGTTTTTAAATTTCAAAATTTCACTTTTCAACTTGTCAATACATTTTCAAATTGTTTGTTTCGTTGTGTTAATTTGCGTTTTTCTGTAAACTTGTCGTGTTTAGCTTGTGGAAGTTTGTATGTTGTAAATATTTTGTACATAGAGTGTGTAGGTGCTTGTGGAGTTGCATAGTAGCTACACCAGATGTTGTTGTCCTGTTTTTTTGCATCTGGTGTAGCGCGCTAAGCACGTTCCAGGCCACTTAGTGCACCCTGCTGTACAGAGCCAGTGAATTATTTTAATTATTTTTACTTGCTTTCCTTTTTCCCACTCTCACATAGGCTTTTTAGATTAATAAATAATAGAGTTATTTTTCTAATTCTTCTTTTTGTTGTTTGGACTTCAAATTTGGTTCGATTTCTTGAGGAATTTTGAGGCGATTTTCCAAGTCTGTGCGTTTCAAATTGCGGTTGTATGGTAATGATAGTTTTTTGAAGTTGGTACACCTCAGATACTCATTTATTGCTTTCTAGAATATAGCATGTTTAAGAGACTTTTCTTTTGTACAAATTTTCATGTCATTCATTCTTTTGTAATTTGTGTTCACATTTGAATCACTTTAGGACTAAACCCCTTGTGAGGTTGCTTTCCATTGTTTACTATATGCACGAGAGTCCGATTTTTTTTTTGTCTTAACTCAATTTTATTATGTTTAATCTTGCATTTATGTTGATTCGTATGAAAGCATGAAATTATCAAGGCATTTTGTTTGATTTTGAGAAAAACCATCTAACAAAAAATAATTCACCTTGTGAGTGAGCGATCATTTGTGAACCCCTTTGAACCTTTTAGTTAGAATTCGTCATGGATTATAATGTTAATTGTTGGTACTTAACCCCAACCATGTATTGTGGTTGAATTTTTCCCTGCCTTAGAAAGTGGAAGCAATTTGTCACTATGTGTGGTAGTATTTAAGTTGGGGAGAGCAATGTTACTTGTTTATAAGATGTATGTTTGAGGTTGAAAATAAATTGCGTAGAAAAAAATAGAGGTGAAAAAAATATAGAAAAAGAAAAAGAAAGAAAAAAAGAGAAAAAGTTTTGAAAAAGAAAAAGAAAGTACAAATAAATGATGTGTGTTTGTGTAACAATTGAGATTGTTGAAAAAGTTGATTGAGCGATGCTTGAGACTTTATGAATTAATCACTCCCATAGGATTATGCATGGTTGTTTGTTTCAATTACTTCTAGATATTATCCCTTCCTTGTTACCCAAGCCACATTAAAACCCTTGAAGCCCTTGTGAATTTCCTTTTGTGCTTTTCAATATGAATTTTCTTTGATGAATGCATAATTTAGTTGTTGTTAGAAAGATTATTGAGTGAGAGTTGAGCACTTCATGTTTGCATTTTTTATCTATCGATGAAGTGTGTGCTAGGTGTGATTCACTTGTGAACATTGTATTGTTTTATAATTTGTGACATGTGCTTTGTATTTAGGAGTTGTTTCATTTTCATGTTATCGTTGTAGTTTAGTGGTAAGTTTTGTCTTGTGTGTAGGTTTTTATTTTTGAACCATACATTTATTTTCCGTTTTAAAAACCTGTTGATTCATGATTCTTTGATTATTGGTTATTTGTTCTTTGAGTTGTTTGGTCTTGTTTGAGAAAAACAAGTTCAAGTTGGGGAGAGTTTGATAAGTGCAAATTGTAGCTATTTTTGTATATAAGTTTTGTTGCACTTATCGATACTTTTGTTAATATTCTTTGAATAATTCCCCGCTTTGTTTGTAAATACGTTTACTTTGCGAATAACTGTGTTTTTATGTAAATAGTGTACCGTTTGATAGTTTTGGTCTATTTTGTAGGTATTTGTCGCATATTTGGAGCATCGAGGAATAAGGTGTCAAAGGCCCAGCTCCGCATGCACGTTTCCAAAATAAAAGATCAGTTTTGGGACTTGCTGTCCAGGAGAGCCCGTTTAGCGCGCAGGAGGCCGCTAAGCGCGAGTGAGGCTCATCGTATTTTATAGCGCGCTTCTTGCGTTAACTGTTTTGGCAGAACCAAAGTTTTGAAGCGCGCTTAGCGCGGTTTAGGTCAGTTTAGTGTGTAAATATTACGCTGCCCGCTTAACGCGGTCTGCTGAGAATAGTTTTATAAAAACTTCCAAACTCCATCACCTTCATTCTTTGATATTTAGAACTTAGAAAACAACATATGTGACTTGCAATTGGATGATCTGGGGTCGGGAGCTTGATGGATCATGTTGACACTGCGGGAAATTTGGTTTTCTCTCCTCTTTCTCTCTTTGTAACCATATTTGTTAGATTTTGTATGTAACTTTACCTTGATTATATGTATATTTATTGCTTGCCGCTTTACACCAGTAACACTCGTCCACAAAGAAGTAAAAGTCGTGTTTCAACCGAGATAAAATAACTTGTTAAACGTGAAACAAATCCGACTCTTGCATTAGACATGCCTAAGAGATCAAATGATGTAATGTGTGAAAATAATCCATTGAAAACTTTAGTATTTATACAGTTGAAAGCTATACATTATGAAAATCTAGTGTCACTATATACTTTAACTACAAAAAGGTTATGCCATGACATGGATCATTCACTTGATGACCAGTTGGTGTGTCATTCTACTACTTAAATAGTTCTTTCTCTATCAACACAGGGTTGGTCTAGGAGAAGATGTAACATTTCCGTATTTCCGCTGTCACATGCATGCTATCACGTGATCATTCATTATCTTTGGTACTAGCTTTACAATGCAGGCAATGTCTCAGGTTAAGCCTTAAACTATCTGAATCTTATATAAATATTCACAGCACTTGATTAAATTTTAACCTTACGCTACTTCTGCAGGTCTCATCACATACATGTTATGTTAGTCTAACTCCAAAATATTTGTGGAACAACACGACACTAACGTAATTGATTATATTTAAATATTTTATCTTGTATATTATTATCAGTGTCGTTGTATTATTCTGATAACAAAATATCATTATATCAAAGTTTGAGATGAATTTATTAAAATTGGTCTCATGTATAAAAGAACAAATTTGGTCACAAGATTAAAAAGATGAAGAAAAAAAATTCATCTTCACACAAATTATATAAAGCAAGAATTAAAATTACAAGGCATGGCAGAAGGATAGTCTAGGCAACAGGGGATACTATAACTTGGTCAAGAACTGGGCCACAGAGAGATCCAAAATCATCAATTCTTGTATGATAGAAAGCGCTATAGAATGTGATTCTAGTTCTGTCTGAAACTGCTTTGAAGTTGAAACTTGCTGTCTTGAATGTTCCCTTTCCTAGAGATTTGAAAGGAACTTTAAGAGTATCTTTTGCAGCAAAAGCTTCAACCATCATTGATCCATGACAACCATTTCTTCCATCACCAATTGTGAATTTCATGTTGTAGACTTTGTTTGGAACTGTTCTTAGGATTTGTGCAATGGCACTTTCTTTTCCTGCAACAAGCTCAACTGCGCCATGTCCAAACGGTACTTGGAAATGGTTCGAATCAATGAACTTAATTGCTTTGAGGGATTCAATAATCCAACCGGGGAGAGGAGATACAACATCTTGTTGTTTCGGAGGGAGAAGAACACCATTGGTTGAGTTGAAAATTGGAAATGGACCCTCCTCAAAGCCAGGGTTTTTCACCAAATTAGCTGCCATAGACCAAGTAATAGTATTAGTGTATGTTTGAAATAATGGATTTCTTGGGACGCAAGAAATGGCTTGCAAACGCTGTTCCAAACACATGCTTAGTGTACATTAGTCCAATCAAATCTCAACAAATCAAGAGCGAAAAAAGTTTAATTTGTTGAGATTTGATCAGAATTAATCTAGATTTTCATATATATGATTGCTTACCTCTTGTAGGCATTGGAGGGTAGAACTCTCTAATAGCAACAGCATCCAAAAGCGGACCACAAGTAGGATCTTCTTGAACACCAGGGTTATGGAATGTAACTTTTAGAGCAGAAGAACTAGCCTTGAATCCCCAAGCAATAACATCACCATTGAGGCTATAGAGTGTTTGCAAGGGAACATCACCGGATTGGGAAGGCACTGAGATTCTCAAAACTTCATCTTGAGCACATGTCCTTGTGGCTCCTAATATTAGAGTATACCATTGACCAGGTTTGACTTTAATGGTTTGAGAGATTGAAGCTTCATTTCCAAGCCTAACTGCATGAACTCCATGTGTCACTGGGAAGTACATTCCTCCTGGTTGTGGTCCTCCAGAGATGTACTCAACTATACCATTGATTTCCCATTTGGGAAGTGCATTTGTCCCTATAAGTCTTGTTTTCTTTAGGTTTCTTGGGTTTGGCTTTTCCTCAAAGTTCCCATTTTGAAAGTAAACTTTAACACAAAACATATCACAAATCATTCATGAATATAAAGTTATGCATGGTAAAACATGAAGCAGGCACGAAATATCAGGATTAGAGTTGAACACTACCTTCTGGTGACCTGAAATGATGAACATTAGCAAATGCAGAAGCAACAAATAGCAAAGTCATGAAAAGTGTCCCTGCCATTTTCACCATGAAGACTAATGAAAGAGAAAAGGCTTTTGTGTGCATAAGAAATGGACAGAGCTATGTTCCCATTTATAGTGCACTTAGAGAGAAACACTTTGCATTTGACTTTTGAAACCGAGTTTTTCTCCTTAATTCATGCCATGAGCTTGCTTGTGAGTGAGGGAATCTAGGATTTAAGATTTATTTTTAATAATAATTACGGTCTAATAACTAGTATTAGGAGTTACTACATTTAATAATGAAGATTTATAGACTGTGGTAGAAATACTAATGTAGAGAAACTAAGGTGGTGATGTTTTCAAACTAATATAAAAACAAGGTGTGCAAGGATGGAACATTACAACTTGCTATAATCATAAACACATTATTTCATAATTAAGCCCACCGTTTTGTTAGAATAATTAATGATGCTATTCAATAACAAACAAAAATTTGATGGTATCACTCAACTCAAGAGTCAAGACAATGCCTCTCCAATCACACCTACAAACTCACCATTATACTATACACCGGCTAATTTGAATTTACTTTATTTATTTATTAAATTAAGACTCGGTCGATGCGCGATTGTAAATTTATTTATTTATTTTTTATTAGATCTTAAATATTTTATGAATATATTTTTAAAAAATATTATTAAATTTATATTATAATAATTATAATAGAGAAAGTGATATGAAGTTACCACATATAAAAAGATATTTTTATTTTAAAGAAAAATACAGGCATGTAAGAGAGAGTGATATTTTTTATTTTATTTTATTCTCATGCATGTCTTTTTAGTTGTTATATTTGATTTATATATTTAATTCAAATTGTTGAATGTGTGTATTTATTTTTAGTGTTAAATAAAATTAAAACTTTATTTATAATTATTATCAAATAAAATTTGATTAGCTTTGTAAATTTTATATCAATTTTTTTAATTTTTGGTTATCTATTAAATAAAGGGTTGAAAATGCGAGTTGAGATAGTATTTTAATTTTTTAAATAATTATTTAATTTTAATTTTATTAATGAGATTGTAAAAATTTATTTGAATGTGTCGTTGATGACAATTGAAATATTTTTTATTTTTTATTTAATTTTGTTTTCATTTTTCACACTGATGATCCATCCGCATATCAAATATTATTGTTAGCAAGACTTCCAAGAATCCACTCGAATTTAAGCACTTAATTTAAAGTATATTAACTTTAATGATGTATGTTTATGAAAATAATATATTTATTTAAGTTAGTAATTAATTAATTGTTAGGTTAGTATATTTTTGACTATAACTACTTTAAAATTAAAAATATTTATATTAAAATATTCATTTTTTATGATTTCAAAGAAAATAAAATTTAAATTTTAATGTTTAGATTCACGAGTCTATCTATATATTAACCTGCTATACCGTCTAATTAGATTCTATTAAAAATAAATGATTAAATATAGTAATTATTTTTTCATGATCATCAGATATTTTTAATTATCATATTCTAAACACCATAAAAAATATATTATTACGATGATTTATGTATCAAGAAATTTTATTTGATAGTTATAATGATTATTAGAAAGATGATATAGGTGTTAGTTGATGATTTAACAACAATATAAAAAAATCAAGTTGACAACTTAATATAGCATGTGTTATTGTAATCCAATTGTAAAGAATAATATCAACAGATTATAGCAAGAAAAAACGATTTTTGCATATTTATTATGTTTTTTACAAAAAATATTTCTATTAAGTATTATCTATTTTAAATTTGAATTTTAAGGAAATATAGATGCTTAAAATTGTAGTTGTTTGTTAAATTATTTTTGTTAAAAATGAGTTTTTTATTTTTATTTTTATCAAGATTCAAATTCGTAACCTTCTATTAAAAATGAATATTATATTTATTTATTTAAAAAATAAAATAAAAATATTAATATATATCATGATATAGTTTATCGCTTCAAATCTAATATATTATATAGATTACTTTCATCACGAAAAACACCATAAAGCTCAAACTAGTTTGCTTATTTAAATTATTTATGAAAAAGTATATAAATTATTTTTTAAAAAATTGACTTTTCACTACAAAAAAGAAGCTTAGTTGCCAGGTGAAAATCACGTGGTAAACATCAAAATCACGTGGCAAAGCAAAATTAGCGACGTGGTGAGTTATGTCGCTGGGGAGTAAGTGGCAAGCAAGTAGCGACGTGATTCCCACGTCACAAAGTTGTGACGTGGTATTCACGTCGCTACATACTTGTTAATGGCAGCTTTATTAGCGACGTGAGAGTCATGTCACTAATTTGTGACTTGATTCCCACGTCGCTACAGGGGACGTTTTTATTTTTTAAAAAATTGTTAATAATTATTTTTTATATTAATTCATTAATGTAATAAAATTTAAATAATAAAATTTATATAATAAAATTTAAATAATAAAATTTATATAATAAAATTTATATATTAAAATTTATATAATAAATTTTATATAATAAAATTTATATATTAAAATTATTAGAATAATAGTATTTTATTTTATATTTCGAATAATAGAATTTTATAAAATAAATTCACATAATTAAATGTTATATAATTTATTAATTTAAAATGATAAAAATAAATATCTTACATAAATGCAAATATAAAAACGAAATAAAAAAAATGTTTTCACGGGGCATCTTCACCCGGAAAATTATCAAGATCAAAGTCATCAAGTCCGTCATCATCCGGCTGTGTATGATCAGGAACATTTTGATTTCGACCGCCTTGCATAAACTGTCTCATCTGCTCCTCCATATCAGATTGCCGCTTCCGCATGATCTCTAACTGACGCTCCTGCTCTTGCCTCATTGTCGTCATTTGGGCCTCCATTTCGCGTCTCACTTCACTGGCCGCCAATTGTCGTACTGTTTCAAGTTGAACCTGAGTCAGATTGGGTTGACGTGACCCCCCTTCTCCATCTCTAAGTCTTTGAAACAGATTATGATCACCAACTCTCAAGCCGGCGGCCAAATTTCCTCCCGCAAAAAAGAAACCATTAGGCCCTTTTCCATTAACAACCTCATTCCAAATATAGAAATCAACATCCCCATTAAGCGGCTCCCCCTCTGCTGGCCTATATTGCGGATTGTGTTCCAGAAAACGTGCTAGCAATGTCTGATAATCATCCTACACATACATTAAATAATACAATTAAAAAAAAATTAAAACATTTATATATTAAATTATACTAAATTCAAATATATTAAAAATTTGTCACGTGATTTTCACAAATCAACTTATGAATTGCCACGTGAGTTTCCCGTGGCAATGTATCAGTTGCCATATGAAAATCAGTCACCTGGCAATTTATCAGTTGCCACATGATAATCACGCCACAACTTATAGATTGCCACGTGGAAATAACGTCACTATTTTTGTTATTAACTTAAAAAAAAAACATAAGTTTAATTACTTACAAAAGCTTTCTGGGTGCGGTCGTCGACAAAACCTCCCGATTTTTTTGTCCGAGTCCTCGTAATCAACTCAATGATCAATGGTGGTCTCCCCATCTCCTTAGTCTAAACAATAAAGTTAAAAATAATTAGTAAAAAATATTATGAATAAAAATATATATAACTTAAAAAATTAGTAATATTTACCATCCGCCGGACATGCTCTGCAGTGCTAATACTTCCAACAGTATTGACACATCCCCCTTTTCGGATGCCCTCATCTTCTTAAAATTTTCGGATTTGGCCTTGAATTCTGGCGAACTCCAATATGTACGAAGTTCGCCAAAAACCTCTACGCCTATCCAGTTAGGACGGATACCATGCAGCTCATAATTCTCCCTAACCCGCCGCATGATATCAGAAAATCTTCTAGAAGTTCTGCTATAATATATTTTTTCCATTATTTTCTCATTCAACGGATCCCACACACATTTTTCCTGCAATGTTGTATGACATTAAAATAAAAAGTTAAGCAATTATCATTAAAATGTGACTTAAATAACAATACTAAAAAAATATAATAAATTTACAACTTAAATAAATAACAATACCTTAAATTTTTTAAACCATTCTTCTTTATTTGTAACCTCGCCAAAGTTCTTCCAAGAGGATTTATACATTTGCTGGATTATATAATTAATAACCTTGGCAGCCGTCCGACTAGGCGCGAAACTAAACAACAAGATTTTGAATAAACAATATTAATTATAAATTTATACAAAATATTAAAATGAATATGTACTTAAATAAAAGTTTATATAAGAAACTTACTTGCTTCCTTCGGGCCAAATTCAAAACCTCCCGTCAATTACATGAATCTCACTCGGATCATCTGATCTCTCACGAATATCAGCTCCATCTATATCATCAGCTACGACATCTGCATCACCGCCAGCCTGTGTAGGACGTGGGATGCTGGATCCTGCAGCCTGTGTGGGATGAGGGGTGCGTGACCCTCCGGTCCGTCTAGGACGTGGGGCGCGGGATCCTGCAGCCTGTGCCGGACGTGGACTGCTGGGTCCTCCAATGTGTGTGGAGTGTGGGGACTGTGCGGGCCTGGAATAACACACGTCAAAAACATGTATGGTTTTGTCATGCACATCTCAGGAGGGAGGTTGTAAGGTGTTACAATAACTGGCCAACAAGAGTACGCACTTCCTGACGCTTGCACGTATGGGGCAAATCCATCAGAGCATAATCCAAGCCTGACATTTCTAGGTTCTGCAGCAAAATCTGGATGTGTGCGATCAAAGTGCTTCCATGCCTCACCATCAGATGGATGTCGCATAGTGCCAGAACTTGTTTGGTTTGTATGATGCCATGTCATTTGACTTGCACTGTGCATTGAAGCAAACATTCTTTTTAACCTTGGTATTATAGGAAGATAAAACATGGATTTTACTGCTACACACTTTTGCTTGCTGTTAACGGCTCTACTGCGAACTTGATATCTTGGACTATTACAAAACTTACACTCCTCTAACGATCCATCTTGAGTACCAAACTCATTGTCATAAAACAACATGCAACCGTTAATGTAACAGTCAATCTTTCTT